ATTTGACTTCAAAATATTGATGTTGACCAAAATTTTTGAAGTTTGACTATAGATTGGTCAGAGTTGACTTTTTGTCAAATATAGTTAATTTTCAATCATCTGGCTAATTGACTGAGCAAACTTGTGATGTAAGACTTGAAATTTGGCATGAGGATATTTTGAGACATATGAGAAACCATGAAATCCACTTGAGGCATTAGAAACTCAATTTCCTTTGAGAGAAGCAAAACCCTAATTGTAGGTCAATTGCTTAGGAGAAGAGTTTGTCTGGTTAACCCTTGAGTAGTCTTAAGTGTTTGAGACCTTCACGAGCATGAGGAGATATCTTGAATCAATTTGTATCAAAGATATGAGGGCAAAATTTGGGGTACAACAACAAGAAACTTTGTAAAACCAAACACAAATACGAAATTATTAGCATTGTCCCATTGGGCGTGCCAATTTGTTTACCTCTAGTTTCAGTAAACAACGTTGGTCTCTTAACAAAAGTTTACTTGCGAGATCGACCAGGGAATCTCAGTACATGCTTCAGTTTTCAAGTGTTTTCACAAAGTGTTTTCAAAAAGGATTCGTTCGACTGGTGCTAAACGAGTTTATAAGCAATAAAGCAAGACTTGTAAAATAAAACAAAAAGCATTTTAAACTGTAAATATAAATGACATAACATCAAAATAGCTGAAAACAAGTTGATTCAAACATACATTGCCCTAACTTGAATCATTTCGCTCGTTTGTTTGGGTACTCTGGGTGACTAGCGTATATGAATGTGAAAGTTTGAACCCTAACTATAACGCCCGTTAATTTAATTAATTATTTAATTAAATTATTTTGGATTGTTTGTTGAAGTTGTGATATGTTGTGGATTGTTGGTATGAGTTGTTAGATTATTATTAATTGATTAAGTAGTTGATTAATAATAATAATAATGTTGGAATTAATGGAATAATATAAGATTAAGTTGTTGGGCCTATTTTATATGGTGGTATATTGTACTAAGGGGTGTGATAATTAAGCCCAAGAGAAATAATTCTATTATTATTGAGTTTGGTTATAATAATAGAAATTAGATATGACAGTAAGGAAAAATAGGTTTTTGTCAAGAGGAAGAAGAATAAGGGTTGGAAGAGAGAAAGAGAACGTGAAAGTTGCAGAAAAGAAGGAAAAGAGGTCGAACGAAATTCAACTGGAAAAGTCGTAGAGCAACCTTCAATCCAAGGTAAGGGTGGGATTCTGACTCTATAATAGGGTTTATGATGAGTAGTATGTGGGATTAGATGTGAAAAGTTGTTATGTTTATGATTGAAATATATCTATTGTTGTTTGATGAAGATCAATGATTTAGAGATGAATAATGATGCCCTAATGCTGTATAATTGATGTAGAAACATAGGATTATTATAATTGATGATTACCTATGATTAGAGGATGTTTTTAGGGCCTAAGGCAGGGAAATCACAGTGAAATCGTAGAATATATTCATGACATATCAGTATGCGTCGACCTTAAAGGCCATGCGTCGACACATGCAGGCTTTTAGACTCGGGATGAGTCGATACATAGGACTATGCATCAATACATGCAGTGCTGCAGACTCAGTATGAGTCGATAAAAGAGGATTACACGTTGACTCATGCAGGATTTTAACCCAGTACGCGTCGACTCAAAACATTATGCGTCGACTCATGTAGTCTGATTTTTGACAGATTCTTCCAAAGGCTGTAACTTGGGTTTTCGGACTTCGTTTGAGGTGTCGTTTGAAGCGTTAAATAGCTAACGCGATGAAATTAATTATTAAGGATTAAAATGAAGGATAATAAGAATAATACTAGTACCCAAATTAGGATCAGATTCGCTTCCTGCGTTAATCGCTATGATGATTTTGTGAAGTATGATGAAGATAAGACGGTTATAGATTATTGCTTGGTTCATAACAGTAAGATTAATGATGATGGTGATGTAGTATTACAGAATAATAATATGTAGATGTTTGGTAATTAGAGATAAGCCTTATATGATTAATTAATTAATGATAGGCATTATCATATTGTAGGCATATGGCCAACATTGAGGGATTGTCGATCTGTCGTTGTATTGTTGTTATGGCTAAGTAGTTGTGGAATTATGTTGATGAATTTTGTTGATGAATTATGTTGATGAATCATGTTGATGAATTATGTTGATGAATTATATTGATGAATTATGTTGATGAATTATGTTGACGAAACATGTTGGTGAATTATGTTGATGAATGATATTGAGATGCCTCTAATAATTTCCAGCTATTAAGATGTAGGCTTCTGGCCAACGATGATGTTGTGTTGAGATGTTGTTAATTGTGGTTGTTGTTACCACATTCATGATTGTGTTGCATACATTGCATATCAAGATGGAGCTGATGCTCGTTAAGATGGCCTGTATTGGCGAATATTAAGATGAAGGCTTATGCCTTGTTGATGCCTCTATTTATTGGCAATTATTTTAAGATGGGAGTTATGCTCTAATGGTACCACATGCATTTGCATTGTGAATTGAGTCGCATTTGATGTTGCATCTTGAATTATGGTGAAAATAAATTTGTTGTTGCTTTATGTTGTTGACTTGTCGTGACAAGTATTATCTAAAAGCTGTGAATTTAGTAGTTATGTCGTGCCGATGTTTTGTTGTGATTAATGTTGTTTGTGAGTTGTGAAGCAGTGATGATATATGATCTGATCTAATATATTATTTATCATACATTTTATTATATTGTTAGATATCTCACCCCTTATGTTTGAATGTTGTCCTCTGTTGGTAACGTGCAGGTAATCAAGAAGGATAATTATTACCTTGTTAGTTTGAGTCGGCGTTGTCGCTCTAATACGTAGCACTCGAGGGGATGAACGCTTGATGTTTAGTTGTTGATTATTATTTAAGTTGCTGAATTTTTAAGTTGATTATATGAAACAATTGTTGTCTCGAGGTTGTTTTAGTTGAGTAAAAGATGTTAAATGAATTGAAGTTGAGTATGTATATTTCGTTGCTTATCAATAAAAAATTGTTCGATTTTGAAGAATAAATCAGATTGTTATCATTCCATCCGAGTTAAGTGTTATGTATCTGTTTGTATGCGATTAAATGAAGATTGATTTGAAGTTGAAAATGTAGCATCCTAATTATGTTGAACTCTGATTTTCTTATTATCCGTCGGGTAGAAATGGGGTGTTACACTAACACTATGTACTAAGTGTTTTATTTATAATACACATATAATAACTGTTTTCTGGCGAGCTTTGTTTCTTTGTATGCCACGTGTATTTTGCAACTTCTCTCCACGAAGCCATGTTCTCCACTTAAACTCATTTTTTCCTCCAAAGCACTTCGCTCGCTTGGTCGGAACTCTTTGGACTTTTTGATGTTTCCAGGCCCAATCAACTACTTAAGGGGCCTCTTCTGATCGACTGCAACTATAGTCGGCTTAGATAATTTCACCTTTTCAATGAATCTTCTTGGATTCTTTTCTCTTGGTTGAATTTTAGTCCTTGTCGAAAATCTCAATCAATACTTACACTAGAGAATGGCGAAATATCTAATAAATAGATAAATAATATGATAAAAAGGTGATTGAAAACTTCCACGTCGCCTCTAAAATCCTTCTTATAATTATATACAAGTAAACTTGTTAATAATTTGTATTTGAATAAAGAACATTAAATATCATAAAACTTATGGTAAAATTACAATGATAAAAAAATTAAATTAATTTTAAAATACTTTTAATTTTTTTATTAATCATACATATTTGAAATTAAAATCAATCTCCTTCAATATTTTCTGATATTCTTAATTTCTCTCATTTTTTTTCGTTTTAGACAAAAAATTCTTTTTCTTCCTCTCATCAATTGAATTAAACCGATCTTAAAGAGATATTGATTTAATACATGACTTTAGTAATATTTAATGTGACAGAAATATTTTCAAAATAATATTTATTTCAATTATAACACTAGTTCATTGGCAATTGTTAATTGGTTATGAGGCTGTTGGTGTAGGATTTAATTCCTGACAACGATAATTTTCAAAAAAAAATTTATTCTAAAATATGAGATTTCGAAAATGATTATTAAAGTGAATAGTAGAAAGCTAGTGTTTTTAGTCTTCATGCTTTTCATATGATCTTAATCCATGTAAATATATAAAATAAAACTATCAAAAATTTAATCTATTAAAATTAACTAAAAAAGAGGAGATTTAAGGTAGAATAAACTGAATGAATAAGCATGGAGGATTTTGACGGACAACATTCTTTAGCGAAATGGATTTTAGTGAACAGCAGATCAAAAATTCCAATTCAATTCACCATTTTTAAACGGATGTACGAGTCAATCTGACAGACCACTATCCATTTTATCAACCCTAATCAGTACATCTTCTTTAAACTCTAATGAAAAAACGATTATTTAAAAGAAAATTTTCCCATTTCTAAACATAAATTTAATCACTATGTTTAATATGAACTTCAAATCATATTTAAAAGCTGGCCTTTTTTATTTTTAATTAAAAAAAGAAATCTTAACAATAAGGAAATAATTAACATGATTTTATATTAAAATTTATTAAATAATAAAATATGCTATTGGACAGAATTCATATTAAATATTCATTTTAATTCGTTATAAATAAAAAGGAAGAAACACAAATAATTAAAATTTTATGATTACTTATAATATGTATATTCAAAATTGAAAAAAAAAATATATATATATATAGTCGTGATTTGAATATTTTAATCAATTTAATTTAGCGAGGCTAATTAACTAATGAGTCATTGATTTTATCATGAACAAATAAAAAACTAACGTGTCATACAAAACAACTAACCGCATTTTGAATTTTAATTTGACGAGAAAAATCCACCATACAAGCCTTCAACCCAAGTTTTTATTTCTTATATAAATAACCATACTTTTGCATTGTTTCCATCACCACAAAAAGTGATTAATCTGAATAAGCACTTATATTATATGATATCAAACATGAAATATCTCCTGTTTTCTCTCTTCTTGCCTTTGGTTTCTTCGTTGATAATTAACACTACACCACAAATAGGTTCATTGAATAGGAATTATTTTCCCAATGGCTTCATATTTGGTACATCATCTTCTGCGTATCAGTATGAAGGTGCATCAACTGAAAGTGGAAGAGGGTCAAGTATATGGGATACTTTCGCTCATACTTATCGAGGTTCTTATAATAAACATGATTCTAACACGTTGACACCGTTAATAATTTAAAAAATTAATAAATTAAATGAGGGTTTGTTTATGATGAAATGCAGATAAAATCATGGATGGAAACAATGGAGACGTTGCGCTTGATTCGTATCATCGATATAAAGAAGATGTTGGAATTATGAAAGATATGAACTTGGATGCATATAGATTTTCTATATCTTGGTCTAGATTACTTCCAAGTAAGTCAAATTGTAGTAATCAACTTCTTAATTAAACTTAATTAGAATTAATTAAGTGTTTCTTTATGTTCCATTGATTTATGTAGAAGGAAAACTAAGTGGAGGAGTTAATCAAGATGGAATCGATTATTACAACAATCTCATCAATGAATTGTTGGCAAATGGTAATAATACAAACTTCATTTTCTTTAAGATTGATAAGTACACAATTTTTTTCATACACTGTCCTCAACACACATATGATTAGACATGCGTAAAAATATGATTAATTCAGTTGAATAAATTGTTAATTTAGTGTACGAAAATGAATGTTTATGAAATCTTTTTTTGTATTATTATGTTTTTACATTTTGGCATCTTCTAATATGTCAAAATAATTTTAGGTTTACAACCATTTGTAACTCTTTTTTATTGGGATCTTCCTCAATCTCTAGAAGATGAATATGGAGGCTTCTTAAGCCCTCTCATCATGTAAGTACGAAACTTAAAATTTTCACTTAACAATTAACCTAAATTTCTCATTCATCTTTACACACTTTCACCATCAGAAAAGACTTCCAAGACTACGCAGAACTTTGCTTTAAAACATTTGGAGACCGAGTAAAACACTGGATAACATTGAATGAGCCATGGAGTTATAGTCAAAATGGTTATGCAAACGGCGAAATGGCACCCGGTCGATGTTCTTCGTGGTTGAATCCAAATTGCACCGGTGGTGATTCTGGAACAGAACCTTATTTGGTTGCACATTATCAACTTCTAGCTCATGCAGCAGCTGTTAATGTGTACAAAACCAAATATCAAATCTCTCAAAATGGTTTCATTGGTATCTCATTGCTCATTACTTGGTTTGTTCCACTCTCAGATAACAAACTTAATCAAAAAGCAGCTGAAAGAGCTACAGATTTTATGTTTGGATGGTAAAGATAAAAACTTCATTACAAAACATACATGTATCGGATAATTATTATAAATAAATATTTCATTTTTAAATTTATCGAATAACTTATATATATTTTATATAAAATTAAAACAGATATATTAATTATTCAATCAATTTTATTTTTTATTTTATTTTTATATATAGTAAATGGAAATTTATTTTATTTCTGCTTGACTATAGGTTTATGGACCCCTTAACAAATGGAGATTATCCAAAAACCATGAGAGGTTTGGTCAAATCACGATTACCAAAGTTTAGTAAAGAACAATCTAGATTACTGAATGGCTCATTTGATTTTATTGGCATAAATTATTACTCTTCTGGTTATGCTTCTGATGCCCCTCAATTAAGAAATGCCAATGCTAGCTACCTAACAGACTCTCTTTCTCAAATTTCATGTAAGAACAACATTATCTTACCATTATTTATTAATTATTTACTTAATAGTATTAATTTAAATAATGATATATTTTTTATTTGCATGTAGTCTCGCGTAATGGAAAATCTATTGGTGTAAATGTAAGTATTTGACCCTAAAAAAACTCTAAAAATTTACATTTCTCATTGAATTTTCTTAACGAGTAGTTGTTCAATTTGATTTTGTTTACTTAATTTTAGGTTGCTTCAGATTGGTTGTATGTTTATCCAAAAGGACTTCGTGACCTTTTGATATATACTAAAGAAAAGTACAATAACCCTTTAATTTATATCACTGAAAATGGTACGCAAAAAATATATTTATTATTATGTATAAATAAGTTCTTATGTGAAGTTTTATTTTTATTACCTATTAAAAATATGGATAATAATTTAATTTTTTCAATAGGTATAAATGAGTACGACGATCCATCATTATCACTTGAGGAATCTCTTCTTGATATTTATAGAATTGATTATTATTATCGTCATCTCTTTTATCTTAGAGATTCAATTAAGTAAGTAATTTTTGTATATAAAATATATGTCTATAATTTTGTTTTCTTGCATGAAATTTTTAACTATATTTTTCTTTCAATATGTAAATACAGGGCTGGTGTAAATGTAAAGGGATATTTTGCATGGTCTTTATTGGATAATTTTGAATGGCATATGGGTTATACTATGAGATTTGGAATCACATTTGTAGATTACAAAAATGGTTTAAAAAGACATCAAAAGCTTTCAGGATCGTGGTTCAAGAATTTTCTCACACCAGACACCAAACTTTATATAGATTCCATTTAGGGCTTCAAATTTGTTTATAAACATCATAGATTTGCTTTATTTGAATATTTTTATTGTTTGAATATGACAAGTATGCTATTTGTAATTGTATGTAATATATATCTTTAATCATTGATCTCATTTAGTGACTCTGATAATATTAATTGTAATTTCATTTTTATTTCCAAATAATAAAAGGAGATAATTAACTAAGATGCTTTATTCTCACCACGTTGTTGCTATAGAATCAACTCTTTTTTCACACAAAATAAAAATGTCTTATTAAGTTATTTCACACAAACTAAAAATAAAATTAATGTGCATTTTTTTCAATAATTTGTACGAATTTTTTGAATGGTTCTTCGATCTTTGCCTTAGCGAATCTCTTGGAAACAAAATTAGAGATTTATAAGGTGGAGGAGCGACATAAATATTTTTCTAACCTTCTTCTACAATCTCAGTAGGTCTAGTATGCTCATTCTTCTCAATTTTACCCTCACTTTTTTTTATCTCTTTTTCACTTCGCAGCGTAACACCGTTCACCATCATGGAGTTAAATTCTTGTTGTCTCAAAACGGTTTTGGCGGGGAAGCTGATGACATTTATTGTTGTGACACCTTAGAGATTTGATTCTCTAACATTTTATTATGTGTGGCTATAACGTCAACCTTAGATGCCAGCTATCCGAGAACTTTGGTATGCATATTTTGTTTCTCAAAACCTTTTTTTTATCGGGTTTGGATAATAACAAAAATTTCCATCAACATCTAGAGGTTAGACTTTCTAGGAGTAGGTGCACCATTTTGTTCTTGGAAGCCCGATATATCGGCTGTTGTGGGATAAATTACAAGTTGGCAAAGTTATTTTTGTATAAAAAGTTAGGGTGGTCTATTCAACCAAGATTGTAGGTGTTCGGGTAAAGGTTCCCCTTTTGGGCATTGTTCACAAAATTAACCATGTATTTGATAGGTTTACTCATGGTCATCACATGTAATGCAGTACCAACATGATCGACTATTGTGCGAATCTCACATGTTGAGTGGTAGGAACTACAATGCTAACGCTCATATTATCGAACTTTTGGAATAAGACACATACCATAACATTTATATGGTCCAAAGCACTCATTTTGTATAAGCCTCATTTTTGGAGAACTTTAGGGCATGTTCGTTTCCCCATTGGTAATAGTTTCACGCCGTGTCCTCTATGAGTTCATAAGAGTATTCAATTTCTTTATTCATTAAATCCCTGCTTGTAGCAACGTATATAGTCATTCTCGTAGAATATAGAAGACCATATATAATATATATAGACTATTAACCATATTTTAAATCTGTGGTGGAAGAAAATCCTAAACATCTCCTTAAATTGTTCCCAAGCCTCATATAGTGATTACCCATCACCATGTTTAAAAATTTTAATCTGGTTTCTGGGCTCAGTAGTTTTTCTCGGAGGGAAATAACGAATTAGAAAAGCGATTTTCAGCTTGTTTCACGTTGTAATGGAATTGGAGGGAAATGAGGCCAATAGTTTTATATGGAACTTGGTACTTGTATTGAATCCTCTATTAATTATAGTAAAGAATTTTATTCGTTATGTTTATTTTTCCAAAATAATAAAGTCTCTAGAATAATAAATCCGCATACATTAAGTGTGACTTAATCATGAGATCTTATTAAACATAATGACATTATTCTTAAAGTATCCATAATCAAGTTTTATTGTAAAGTGGGATAACATTAAAACATTTATACTATTATGTAGATAGACTAATGATCAAATCTCTTGGATCATGGATAAAGAGTTCTCAATTCTTCACATATATATGAATATTAGGAGAAATATTTATGGAACCTTGTGAAGGTCAAAAAAGTACACAAGAAGGGGAATTGAATTGTGTATATCAAAGTTTACTTCTTTTTTTACAATCTTGATTCAGAACCTAATTAGAAGAGGTCATATTCTGAGTCAAGAAGAACTATGTTAGACCAGAGTCTGACTTCAGAGTTCAGAGCACAGTGGAATAAATAAATGCAAAAGTAATAAAGTGACATGTGATATATCCTAGTTTCTCTTAAACTGAGAGTGGACCATTCCCCTTACAGTACAAGAGATTTTTACTATAATCATTCAGATTACAATTTACTCAATTAAACTAGAAAGAGACTTTCTTGCCCAAACCAACTGTTCAGAACTTCTTGCTCAATCAAACTAGAAAGAAACTTCCTTGCCCAAACTAATTGTTCATAATTTCTTGCTCAAGTCCTCAGACAAGAGACTTCCTTGCTCAATACTCTAGATCGATACTTCCTGCTCCAACCCTCAAGCAAGAGACTTTTTTTGCTCAATCTTCCAGATCGAGACTTCCTGTCCAAGTCCTCAGACAAGAGACTTCCCTGCTCAATCCTCCAGATTGATACTTCCTTCTCAAACCCTCAAGCAAGAGACTTATTTTCTCAATCCTCCAGATCGAGACTTCTTGCTCAAGTCTTCAGACAAGAGACTTCCTTGCCTAAACCTGCAGTTCAGGACTTCTTGCTCAATCACGAATTAAAGAGGCTTTTGCTCAAGCATGAATGCTAGAGACTCAAGATTCTTTTAATAAAATATTTTGTTATTAACCTTTGTGTTTATACGTGTGCTTCTTAGTTAAGTGGATACACAAAGGTTTTACACTTTGAGCAAGATATAAGTTATCTAGCTCCTAGGTGTATAAGACTGAAAATTTCATTCTTTCTATTCTTCTTCTGCATAAATGATCTTCATTTGTTGTGCCTTGCTGTTCTATTGATCTGTTGATCATATTCACATATTCTTTCTTTTGACTCTCCTAGTTATATATGAATACGTCTCACTCTGATTTCTTTTCTCTTAACACACATTAACCCTTCTGGTTAGATTTCTTTTTCTTTTGTTTGTTTTTCTCATCTGTGTTTTCTGAGTAACACAATTCTTCTCTCAACTCTCATCGTGTGTTCTGGTATCACATTCTTGTGTACTCAGTTAAACACACACATTTCTTCTTCTTTAGTTTTCTTATTCTCTTATAGATTCTGAAAATAGATTCGTTGAAGATTGAGACTTCCCATAGTAATGGTAGCTGTTGAAGATCAAAACTACCCATAGTACAAGTATCTGTTAGAGGTCTTTAGCTAGAACACGTAAAGTGAAGTTTAAACTTAGATAGCATAAAGACGCTGAGATGAGCAGAGTAGAGTTTGCATAACAGCTGAAGAGACGGGATCCTGACAATGCTACTTTCTTGATTAGACATAAAGTATATGTACATTGTGATGAGATCTTCTTGAGATAACTTCTGACTGGAGACTTCTTGTAGACGTTTGTTGAAGCTTGAATAAAGTCATTATTATCTATTATGCTTAACTTCCCGAATAAGAGGATTCTTATAGAATTATTTAAAGCTTAATCAGAATTTTGAGTATGTCTTCAGAACCTGGTTAGAATGAGACTACAAAGTCAAGTTTATAGGTTTTAAGGTTGCCTTTATCAGAGTCTTGATCAGAACTAATTTGGTTGAATACTTTCAGAGTTGTTGACTTAATATAGACAATAATCCTTTAAAGAAGAGACTTCAGAACTGTTGATGAAGCTTGTTTAGAATTTGCAAAGTCATTCCTTATGACAGCATCTGCTTTCTTCAAATGATTCTAGTCTTTAGACATTTCCGGTCTTTAGAATTCCAAGTAAGCTTCAACTCAGCATCTGAGAGACTTGAGTTTGACTCTTAAGAGTATGAAAGCTTGGTTCTGGTCCTTCATATTCAGAACAACTTTGCATCTCTCTTAATGATTCTTCTAAGTGATTATCTTGATTTATATCAAGTTTAATGTCTTTTGATCTTGCACACTTGAACAACCATTAGTAAAAACCTATTTCTCTTTAAATATATTGTTATCGTCATAAACTTTCAAGAGTCTAAACAAATATTATTACAACACCTTGTTTTACAGGTGATATGCTTTTAACAAGGACATCAACTTTTGATAATGACAACTAATGTATTATGATAAGTCAAGCATGAACGGTTAAGCGGATAAAGATGAAAACCTTATCATTAGGGTTTGATGGACTTGACTATTCAATGATGGAAATCAAATGGAATCTAACCTAAAGTGTCATATCAAGAAACTAAAGCAAGTGTCCATAAAAGATAAAGCATATGAAAAAGACTTGAAGTACTATGGTACCTCCTAATTTAGTAGTCAGTGGATCTTTTTGTAAAACATAAGGACTTTATTGTAAAAGCGGATGGCTAAAGCACATACACACTAAAAATTTTAAAATGGTTTTACCTAAGAAAATATATTTAAAAACATCTTGAAGTTGTGCCAAATGAATTAGGAACTCTCAAAATTACAAGTGATTATGCGAGTTCAAAATTGAGTCACAAGCGATTAGGATGGTGCCTTAATGATGTGCAAAGGCTATATATCTTTTCCTTCTTTAATAAACTTACAAATGATTATTTTTAAGTATCTAATCAAATCGATTAGATTTCCTTAAAACACATTAATTTAAAATTCCATTTTGAGTCAACCTATAGCCTATAAATAGAGGACCATTTTCTCATTTCATCCATAATCGTGTTTTGACACTTTCAACTCTCACACACTCTCTCTCTCTCTAAACTTTTCTTTACCCTTTCTCTCACTAATCTTCTAGCCTAAGTGCTTTTGCGAGTGAGAAAAAAATTGTAATTATGGAAAGGGTAGAATTGTAAATTCTATAGAATGGTTAAATACTGTCCATGTATGGATTTATTTGGGTTAGAATCTAAACTCGTTAAAAGATTTGGTTTAGGGATTATGTGATCAAAACCTAGTTTAGGTTGGAGATCAGCGCATGATAAAATATCCTAGCTTATTGGTCAACTCGGTATTAAAACTAAGATTGGTTGAAGCTCATCTTAATATTAAAAGCTTAACATGTTCGAGATCATCCCAGTGTTAAAATCTCACAGGTTATTGGTTATCGTGTAAAATTAAGGTTTTGAGCTCAAG